CAATGGCTGCAAAAAAAAAGCTTTTGACAAAATACAACACCCATTCCTATTTAAAAATACTAGAGGGCATAGGAATAAATGGAGCTTTCCTTAAAAGGATAATTAGTATATATCTAAAACCATCCACAGACATTGTCTGTAAAGGGAATTAGCTAGAAGATTTCCCAATAAGATCAAGAATGAAGCTAGGATGCCCATTATCTCCACTGTTATTCAATATTGCACTAGGAATGTTAGCTTTGGCAATAAGAAAAGAAAAAGAAATCAAAAGAATTAGAATAGGCAATGAGAAAATGAAACTATCACTCTTTGCAGATGATATGATGGCATACTTAGATAATCCTAGAAAATCAACTAAAAAACAATTACCAATTTTAGGAAAGCTGCAGCATATGAAATAAACACACATAAATCATTGGCATTTCTATGTATTACCAACAAAGCCCAGCAGGAATAAATAGAGAAATTCCATTTAAAATAACTGTAGACAATATAAAATACTTAGGAGTCTACCCGTCCAGACAAATCCAGGAACTGTATGAACACAGTTACAAAACACTTCACATTAATAAAGTCAAATGTAAACAATTGAAAAAAAAACCCATCAACTTCTCATGGATAGGCTGAGCCAATATAATAAAAATGACAATTCCACCTAAATTCATTTATTTATTCAATTTGATGCTGATCAAACTGCCAAAAATTAACAGATCTAGAAAAAAAATAATAACATTTCATCTGGAAGAACAAAAGGTCAAGGATATCTGAGGAATTAATGAAAACAAATGCAAAGGAAGTTGGCCTAGCCACTCCAGATCTCAAACTGTATTATAAAGCTGCAGTCATCAAAACTATCTGCAGCTGGCTAAGAAATAGACTGGTGGTTCAGTGGAATAGATTAAGTATATAAGACTCAGTAGTAAATGATCATATTAATCTAGTGTTTAATAAATCTAAAGACCCCAGTTTCTGGGATAAGAACTCAATATTTGACAAAAACTGCTGGGAAGACTGGAAAACAACATGGCAGAAACTAGGTATAGACCAACATCTTACACTGTATACCAAGATACCCAAAGTGGGTATATGATTTAGACATAAAGGGTGATACCATAAGCAAATTAGGAGAACAAGGCATAATTTAACTGTCAGATCTATGGAGAAGGAAAGAACTTTTGACCAAAGAAGAGATAGAGAGCACTACGAGATGTAAATTGGATAATTTTGATTATATTAAATTAAAAAGGCTTTGCACAAACAAAGCAAATGCAACCAAGATTAGAAAGAAAGCAGAAAGTCGGGAAACAATTTTTACAATGTCTCTGATAAAACTCTCATTTCTCAAATATATAGAGAACTGATGCAAATTTATAAGAATACAGGTCATTCCCCAATTGATAAATGGTCAAAGGATGTGAACAGGCAGTTTTCAGATGAAGTAAACAAAGCTATCTACAATCATTGAAAAAAATTATCTAAATCAACATTAATTAGGGAAATGCAAATTAAAACAACTTTGAGGTACCACTTCACACCTATCAGATTGGCTAATATGACAGAAAAGGAAAATGATAATTGTTGGATAGGATGTGGGAAAATTGGGGCACTAATGGACTGTTAGTGGAGTTGTGAACTGATCCAAACATTTTGGAGAGCAATTTGAAACTATGTCCAAAGGGCAATTAAATTGGACATACTCTTTGATCCAGCAATACCACTGCTAGGTCTATATCACAAAGAGTCATAAAAAAGGGGAAAAGGAACTACGTGTACAAAAATATTTATAGGTTTTTGTGTGTGTGTGTGGTAGCAAACAACTGGAAATTTAGGGGATGCTCATCAATTGGGGAATGGCTGAACAAGTTGCTGTATATGAATGTAATGGAATACTATTGTGCTAGAAGAAATTGTGCAAACAGGTGGATTTCAGAAAAACCTGGAAAGACATACATGAACTGTTGAAAAGTGAAGTGAGAAGAACTAGGAGACACAGAAACAGTAACATTGTGCAATGATCAGTAAGAATGACTTAGCTCTTTTCAGCAATGATCCAAGACACTTCCAAAGAACTCATGATGGAAAATGCTATCTGCATCCAGAGAAAGAACTGATGGAGTCTGAATGCAGATCAAACATGCTATTTTCACTTTATTTATTTTTGTTTTGTTTTGTTTATTCTTTCACAGCATGACTAATATAGAAATGTCTTACATGATTGCACATATATAACCTAAATCGAGTTGTTTACTAATTTAGGGAGGGGAAGAAAGGGAGAAAATTTCAAACTCAATTTTTTTTAAATGAATGTTAAAAATTGTCTTTACATGTAATTGGGAAAAATACAATACCATTTAATAAAAACAGTGATTGGAAAGGGTTTCCTAATCCTCCTCAAGTGTTTTGGTTCTGACTACTGCCTCCCTTAATCCACTCTCCTCTTCATCAACTTCCTCCTTTCTCTTATCTCTTTTCCCTCTTATTTCCTTGTTGGGTAAGATAGATTTCTACATCCAACTCTGTGTGTGTGTGTGTGTGTGTGTGTGTGTGTGTGAGAAAGAGAGAGAGAGAGACTTCCCTCTTCCCTCTGTGAACCAATTCTGAGAATGATGTTCAAACAATATTCCTTATGTATGTATTTTGATATACAACTAAATATATAATTTGGCCATTAACACAGCTTAGCCATTCTTCATTTAGTTAGGATAATTGGAGAGTAATTCTGTAAAATTTTTATTTCTGCAAGTTGTGCATATGTGTCTTGGTAGGTTGATTTCTTGATAGTTAATGCATTGTTATTTTAAATGGAATTTCTCTATCTCTTCTGTGAAAAAAATAATATTGTACAGGAAATAATTGTTTTCTGTATTAATTTTATATCCTGCTACTTTACTGAAGATATTTGTCACATCAATTTTTTGTTATTGCTTTACTGAGGTTCTCTAAGTAAACTCTGATATTAACATCAGTTCATAACAAACAGAATAACCTTTGAGTGTATTTGTGTGATGCTTATATGGCAAGGGGAATGATGGGGAAAAATTTAAGCAGGAGGTTGCTTGTTGATACCCCATCTCAAATTCTATTAGCAGTAATTATCAAAATTTTATGATACTAGAAAAGATATAAAAACCAGATCTGTATAATAAGTAGACAAGCAAAACCTAGTCCAGTGCTTGATAAACTCAAGAACACAAACTACAAGAGTAGGGCCTCTCTATTTAGTAAGAGGTCTAGTAAAAAGTTGATTTGAATGACCATTGTACAGCATATGCCACAATATGTTCTCAAATCCTTAACTAAGTAAATATAAGAAGTCATATCATAAACAATTTTATGATATTTATTTCTACTATCCAATAAAATATGTATTGACTCTCTCTCTCAAGCACCCTAACAACTCAATTCTTCTACTTACTCACTTCCAATGACCTACTCCTCCATCCCACCTCACTCACACACAAAGTTGGTCATAACTTTGACCTTGCCACCACCCACAAATGTACTAGCTCCATGTTCAAGAATTCCAAAAATGTCATATGTAACAATAATCTACTGTATTTTCACCTCTTCTTCTGCCTTCCCTTACCCACCTCTTCTTCCACTCCATGACCTCTAATTCTTTGATCCTTCAGTCCTCTATCAAGGCTATTTTCTCTGTACTATCCACAGTCTCCTCTTTTCCTCATCTTGACGCCTTAGCAAACCAATAAAACTTGACACTGCCCTCCTTTCTTGAGTCCTTAGCCACCATAATATCTCATCATTGTACCTTGCTAATCTTCAGCCTTGACTTACTCTGACTGAGTCCACTACAAATATATGTTAAATAACCTAAACTGGGCCCTCAGTGCTGCTAGGCAAGCCTAATATACCTCCATCTTCAATTTACTATCTTACTCTTCACAGCTACTTTCCCACTCTTTGCCATCCCCATCTTCAAATTTCCTGTGGCTCCTCCTTCCCTACCCTCTTAGCTAAGAACTTGCATCATATTTTACAGAAAAAAATTGAGGCCATAAACGATGATCTTGGTCTTCTTCCCTCTTCCTCATCTCATATAACACATTCCTTCTGCCACTATCTTCTTCTTCACCCATTTCACATGATGAGGTGGTCTTACTCCTTACCAGGTAAGAAATACTTATACCCTTCTACCTGCTCAAGAGATCCCTTTCCCAACAGATTGGCCATTTTGTCATACCCACTCTATCACTTATTTTAAAGCTCACCCTTTCTAGTGGCCCCTTCACTGCTACCTACAAACATATCCATTATCTCCCCATCCTGAACAAAAACAAAACCAAAAAAACACCTTAACTTGATCCTTCCATCCCTGCTACCTCTCATCTCTTTCATCACTTTAGTAGCTGAACGGAAAAAGGAAAGCATTTGGGAAGGTAGGCACTTTATTTCACTTCTGATGAGTCTGTAAAATGGTTCAATTCAACAAGAATAAAAACTTGGAATTATGAAAGAAAATTTATTAAACTTCTTGTACTCTCTGATCACAAATTCTATTCCTGGGACTATACCTCAAATAAGTTATTAATAACAACAAGACCCATATACTCAAAGAATATTCATCACACCATTATGTGTAACAAAAATCTGGAAACAAACTCTGCCCAACAGTCAAACAAACAGCTCAAACTGTGGTGTATGAATCTAATTGCATATTACTGCGCTATAAGGAATGAAGAATAATAAAAATTCATAGCACCATGGGGAAAGACTTATATGAAGCATTGCAAAGTGATGAAAACTGAGCCCAAACTCAGCATACACAATGATTATAATAATGTTAGTGAAGTCAGCATTATGAGGCAACAAAACTCTGGTCAAATACAATGATTGATGTCACTACTATACTATCAAAGGTAAATTAAACATTAATCCTTTCTGTTAACAAACAAAACCTCCCTAGAGGATATTTGTTGGGAAATGTCTTGTGTCAAAATGTAGCATTGCATTTTTTAATGGAAACAAGAAAAGGTCATTACATTCATAAGTCTTCATTTCACTGTGAACTAGTGTTAAGTAAGATGTTTACTTTGTAGGAAAGCCTTCCTTTAATCATTACATTCATTAGATTTATCTACTATATGAAGTCTCTGATGTCGGGTAAGTCCTGTACTCTGGCGGAAGGTCTTCCCACATTTATTACATTGATAAGGTTTCTCTCCAGTATGAATTCTGTGATGGGAAACAAGGGATGAATTGCGATTGAAGGCCTTTCCACATTCATTACATTTATAAGGTCTCTCTCCAGTATGAATTCTGAGATGTGGAGTCAGTTGTGAGCTCTGTCGAAAGGCCATCCCACATTCATTGCATACATAAGGTTTCTCTCCTGTATGAATTCTATAATGTACAGTAAGTTCTGCTTTTTGGCAGAAGGCCTTCCCACATTCACTACATTTATAAGGTTTCTCTCCAGTATGGATTTTCTGATGGCGAGTAAGTATAGCACTGAGATGAAAAGCCATACCACACTCGTGACATTTGAAAGGTTTCTCACTAGCATGGATTCTATGATGTTGGGTAAGTTCTGTACTCTGACAGAAGGTCTTCCCACATTCATTACATTCATAAGGTTTTTCTCCAGTATGAATTCTCTGATGGTAAGTAAGCTGAGATCTTCTGCGGAAGGCTTTCCCACATTCATTACATTCAAAAGGTTTCTCTCCTGTATGAATTTTCTGATGTCGTGTAAGTTCTGAGCTCTGGCGGAAAGCTTTTCCACATTCATTACATTTATAAGGTTTCTCTCCTGTATGAATTTTCTGATGTCGAGTTAATTGTGAGCTCTGGTGGAAGGCCTTTCCACACTCATTACACACATAGGGTTTCTCTCCTGTATGAATTCTATAATGTATGGTAAGTTCTGCTCTCTGACAGAAGGCCTTCCTACATTCACTGCATTCATAAGGTTTCTCTCCAGTATGGATTTTCTGATGGCGAGTAAGTCCAGTACTCAGGCGAAAGGCCATACCACATTCATGACATTCAAAAGGTTTCTCACAAGTATGAATTTTATGATGTTGGGTAAGTTCAGTGCTTTGACAGAAGGCCTTACCACATTCATTACATTCATAAGGTTTTTCTCCAGTATGAATTCTCTGATGGTAAGTAAGCTGTGATCTCTGGCGGAAGGCCCTCTCACATTCATCACATTCAAAAGGTTTTTCTCCTGTATGAATTTTCTGATGTCGAGTAAGCTGTGAGCTCTGACGGAATGCCTTTCCACATTCATTACAGTCATAAGGTTTCTCTCCAGTATGAATTCTCCAATGTTGAATAAGCTGTGTCCTTTTACCAAAGGCTTTGCCACATTCAATACACCGATAAGGTTTTTCTCCAGTATGAGCTCTAAGATGAGAAGTAAGGGATGAACTATAATTCAAGATCTTTCCACATTCATTACATTTATAAAGTTTTTCTCCATTATGAATCCTCAGATGTTGAGTAAGATGTGAATTTGGGTTGAAAGTCTTCCCACATTCATTGGAATCATGTTTCTCTACAGTATGAATTTCTTGAGGTCTAATAAGTTTGGTGCTCCAGTGAAGGGCCTTTCCACACACATTATACTCATGAAGATTTTCTCCAGTGTGAATTCTCTTATTGGGAGAATATAGATTACATGTATAGGATTTCTCTCTAGTATGAATTTTCTGATGGTAAGCAAGGTATATACTCTGTTGAAAAGTTTTCCCACATTCTCTGTGTTTACAAAGTTTCTCTCCAGTAAGAATTTTGAAATGTTGAATAAGTTGTGTTCTCTTATAGGCTTTCCCACATTCAATATGTGCATAAGGTTTCTGTATAGTATGAATTCTCTGTTGTTGAATAAGTTGTTTTTTCCATAATGTGGCTTTTCCACATTCATGATGTTTCTTTCCAGTATGCATTCTGTGATATTCAATAAGGTCTGAATGATAACTGAAATATTTCCCTCTTATGTTATACTTAGAAAATTTCTTCTTTGAGCAAATTTCATTATATTTTCTTAGATCTGAATAGAGTCTAAATCCCTTTCTATGTGCATCACTTCGGGGAAGATTCTTTTCTATGAGGAATCTCTGTTGTAGAAAAAGAATTGGCCTTACAGCAAAGATTTGACCATATTTATTATGTTCATGGCTTCTCAATTTACTCTGTGGTTTCCTTTGGATGATCTTTCTTTGATGAGTTTTCTCCTCATCACTTTTCTCCCCCTCTAACTTGGTTTCATAATCCCAAGATTCTCCCAAATTAGAAACATAAGGACAAAGAGTTGTGAGAGTTTCCTGAGATGATTCTTCCACAGGAATGCCCAATTTTGTAATTGGCTTCTTGTTTACAGGTCTGATCTCCCAACCTGAAAGAAAGAAGAAATATCAATTTTCCATAACAAACTTGGTTTAAGCCAAATCTCCTAATCTTCAGGGGAAAATATCTAAATATCCTTTACTCCCTTTATCACATTCATAAAGAAAAGTAACTCTCAAATTTTAATAGATAGTAATTAGACAAATAATATGATCTCACATTTATAGAGTTATTGTGAGGAAAGTGTTTTATAAACCTCAAAATGTTACATAAATTCAAATTATTATTAGAATCATTACAGCTTATAAAATACTTCACCTTGAACCTAAAACTTTGCAAATGAGAATGAAGTTTACAGTAACTTAGCAACTTACCCAAAGGCACACTATTAATAAGTTTCAAATCTGAAACGTAAAACAAGTTCTACTGACTCCAAATCCAAAGTTCTTTCCACTACATAATAATACTTCTCTAGTCTTCTATCCCAATGGTCTTTTTTTTTAACTACACTGTTACCTGTTCATAATGGGATAAAGTTGTTCTCAGCCAGAAATATTTAAGCTATAGATGGATGACCAACAGTTAACATTGATACAGATCATAACAATGATCAAGATAGAGCTAAGATGGTAGAGCAGGAGCTCTCCCCACAAAAAACCTCCTCCCAGTAGATTTCAAAAGTGCACTAACCCAAATCCTCATGGGGAAATCTAAGAAAAAGTCAGTGAGTCATTTTTCCATCTGAGGTCAGCACAGAGAGGTCTACATTCACTAAGGATTAAGTCTGGTCAGGAGTATGACTACTCATAGCATTCTAACTCAAGGGAGAAGCTGTGCACTAGCGCAAGAGGACCCACACTCATACCAGGGTACTGGAGGTTGTGAGAACAAGTGCCAACTGAAAGTTTTGTCTGCCACTATCCTGTCCTAGGTCACAGTTCCAGGGCAGGCAAAGGAAGGGACCTATGACCTGGGGTAGCAGTCCATAGAAGTGAGATTCCTAGAATGTGTACCAAGCAAGGAACAAGTTAAGAAGCAGGCAGAAACAGTGTGACTCAGACCCCAAGGACAGAGCAGGATCTCAGTTGCCGTTTCTAGACCAATTTGAATCCCACAGAGAAATAACCTGGATAGGAATCACAGATGAAAGGGAAAACAAATTTTGTCACTACAAAGCAGTAGAACTTTCCAGTTGGTTGATGGGGGCTAAGATTAGCAGCACTCTATTGCTCCTTAGACCCAAACATAGTTCAAGAACCCATTCAGCTCGCAACAACACAGGTATGATCAGACTTTGCTCTGGACTGCGCCACTTTGGGAGCACTAAAAGTCTGCATATCCTTAATCTGGGCTGTTTCTGAGAGTCTACAATAACACAACACTCAATATTCCAAGGAAACAGCAAAAGGACCTAGACCTTCCCTGCAGAAGTGCCAATAGCCTGGCTCGAACATAAAAGAAGAACTCAGGAAATAAGCAAGAAGAATGAGCAAACAAAAAAAAGAGAATCCTACCATAAAAAGCTATTATGGTGACAAGGACATTTAAGACACAAACCCAGTAGAATATGACTCCAAACATCTATAAGTTAAACCTTAAGGGGAATACAACTTGAGTGCAAGCTCAAATAGAATTCCTAGAAGATGTGAAGTGAGAGTTAAAAGGATTGGCTTTATATACGTATATATATATATGTATATGTATATGTATATGTATATATATATACACATATATATATGAAATCAGACTATTAGATGGAAAAATGTAAAAGAAATGAGAACTAAGGAAGAAAGAATTAGGAAAGGATTTAACAGCTTAGCATTAGAGGTCTAAAACCTTGCTCAAGCAATACACTCTCAGAAAATTAAAATGGACCTAATAGAAGCTAATGACTCCAAGAGACAATAAGAAATATTCAGATAAAGTCAAAACACTGGGGGGGGGAAAGAAGAAAATGTAAGGTATCTCATGGGGGGGGGGGGAATCACCTGGATCACAGACTCAGGAGAAAAAAAAATTAAAAATCATACCTGAAAGTTATAACCAAAAAAATGAGCCTAGATACAGTATTTCAAAAAAAATGTCAATATAAAACTGTTCAGATATCTTAGAACCAGAGTACAAAGTGTAAATTGAAGCAATCCTCCAGTCCCCTGCTGGAGAAACCTCTAAAATGAAAACTCCCATGAACATTGCAACCAAAATTTGGAGCTTTCGGTTCAAATAAAAATACCACAAACAGTCAGAAAGAAGGAATTCAAATACTAAAAAGCCAGAGTCAGAATCATACAGGATTTAGCAGCACCACAATAAAGAGGTGGAGAACTTGGGATATGCTATTTCAGAAGACCAAGGACATGGGAATATAGCCAAAAAAAAAAAACTTACCCAGAAAAATTAAGTACAATGCTACGGGGGGCGAGGGGGGGGATCTTTAATGAAATAGAGGACTGCCAAGTTGGTTGTTGTTCTTCATTCTCAAAGCAGAACAAAATGACATCACTATGTTAGAGTCAAGTTATAGTGTGTCCAACTGTGGCTGATCATATCAATATAAGTGACTCATTGATACTTCATGGCACAGGGCAAAGCAAAAGTCCATACGATACTACATTAGAATCTTCCTACCTAATTGAAATCAAACCATGAATAATGACACTTTGGATTTAGCCACTGAACCACTTCTGAATCCATCTATGTGCATGGCACCTCTCCACCTATTTTCAGAAGACCAGCATCAGAGACTTTATCAAATGCTTGCCTAAAATCTAGGTAAATTATATCTACAGCATTCCCCAAATTGCTAGTGTAGCATCCCTGTCAAAAAACCACAGTGTTTAATTGGGGATGGTGCAGTCTTCCTGAATCCATTTGTCTTTCTGTGATCCGTGGACCCTTTGGTAGGCATTTAATAACCAGTGTTTTAATAATTCACTCTATGATGGTTCCAGGAATCAAATTGCAGTTTGCAGACTCCATTCTTTGGCCTTCTCTAATTGTAAGGTACCTTCCCCATTCTCAACAAGCTTTGAAATATCACTGATAAAGTCTCAGTAATCACATCTGGCAGTACTTTTAGCAATAGCAAAGGGTGGGAATCTAGCCAATGATTGGTTGTGGCTGAATAAATTTTGGGACATGAATGAATTATTTCATCATCATAACTGATGGTGATGATGATGATAACTAGCATTTAAGGTTGGAAAAGCAAATACTACATTTGGCCTCCAGCCAAAAGCCTTTCCATGTTATCTCACTTGATCTAATATTCCTTATGAACACAGACATAGAGAGGTTGAATCATAGGAATTGTCCTAAAGAAGAAAGAAGAATCAGAATACACACAATGCATATGAAACTATATAAAAATAAAGCTACATAATCTAACAAATACATAGAAGGAAGAGATCCCACAGGGACACTGAGGCAAACATCACATTTGTGTTATTATTATTCCCAAATAAATACATGCATTTTTGAATGGGAGAAATTATGAATGGACTTGGGAGATGAGGCACAAGAAAAGCACCTGATCATGAGGAAACCCCAAAGAAAATGAACAGAACAAGCTCTATCCTCTGTGGAAACTCCTCTTTCTCTGAATATGGGAGTGCAAAGGGTGGTCAATCAGTGGATCTCTGTTGTATTGGAGATGAGACTCTTTGGACCAGCTCATGTCAGACAGTCTCAGTTCTTCCCCATATGTATGGGGAAGTTTCAGGAAAGCCCTTGCTCCCACATTTTAAAGCTTTCCCCACCTTGAATGGCCCGTTAGGAGTTGTAGGAAGTTTTCATTCACTCACCTGGGCAGCTGTTTCTTTGGACTTGCCCCTCTGCCATCCAAGGTGCCTCCTTTCCCTCTAAATGGGAGATAACAGCTGGCTTATTAAATACAAGCCCTGTTCATCATAAAAAAGGGAAAGTAGTAATGAAAGTAATGCAGAATGAAACTGTGTCCACTGGGATGGTACAAATGACCTCTGGCGGGGGTTTTGTATTGAATTCTTAGACAAGATAAGGTAGTTGTTCACTTTTCTGCAAAATGAAATTAATTCTGAAACTTAAACTTCCTCATATAATTACCTGGCCAGCTGCAGGACATCATCCTGCCCCTGCACTGGGTAGCCTCCCTCTCCTCACCCCTGCCCTGTTTTTCACTCTCTTTTTATGTGTTGTCTTGCCCCCCCCAATTAAATTGTGAGCTCCTTGAGGGCAGGAACTATCTCATGCCTTTCTTTGTATCTCTAGTGCTTAGCATAGTTCCTGGTACACAGTAGGCCCTTAATAAATATTGATTCTGACTCTCACAATGGTCACTGGAAAGTAGTCAGAAAGAAAAGCAGTTCCTTTGACCCACTCCCTGCTAAGAGAATGGGAACCTTTCAGGTCTTCGTTTATCTCCACTAGGGCTTTAGGGCATAATCTTAAGCCAGAGTAAAAAGATATTGGGGGAAATATGACATTACATAGCTGTTTTTAAATGGAGGATGGACCCGGCCCTCTTCCCCCTGAGAATGCGGGCATTTATCAGATCAAAATCAACCCAGCAGCTTCCCCCCAAACAGTGGGACAGCTAGGATAAAACAACAGTCTTGGAATCAGGAGGACATGAGTTCAAATCCAGCCCCAGACACATAGTAGTTGTGTGACCCTGGGCAAGTCACTTAACCCTGTTTGCCCCACTTCCTCATCTGTAAAGTGAGCTGGAGAAGGAAATGGCAAACCACTCCAGTATTTGTGCCAAGAAAACCCTAAATGGGGTCACAGAGAGTTGGACAGGACTGAAATGATTCAACAAAAACAATTAACTAAAGACCTCCACCTGAAAATTCACAGCACAAGTTCCTGTCCTTTGACCGCTAAAAAAAATAAGACTAACAATCCCTGTTCTGGGCCTACTAAATACTAACTGCTCAACAAAATAATATCCCGTAGAGTTTACCAAGAGAGAACCAAAGACCCTCCAATGAGCAAATTTTGGGACTCAGGGTGAAGCTGTCCTTACCCAGGCAGACCAAGTTCTTATAGTTCTCCATCATCACATCATGGTACAGTTCTTTCTGAGATGCATCCAGGCACCTCCACTCTTCCTGATTAAACTCCACAGCCACATCTTTAAATGCCACCAATTCCTGAAATGCCAAATACATTTGTTTTTATAGAAGTAATAGGCTTTGGCAGTAATACAGGGGAGACAAGCTGAAGTGTGGTGCTGGCCATGTGAATGGAGAGAAGCAGATAATCCGTGAGAGATGTTGTGCAGACAGAATCAACAAGACTTAGCAACCCTGTTTCTAAGGTTTTAAACCTAGGTGACTAAAAGCATAGTGTTACACTCAGTAGAAAGTTTTGGTGAAAAGATGATTTCTCTTCTGTGTGTACTGAGTTGGAGATACCTCTGAGACATGCAGTTTGAAATTTTTAGCAGGCAGTTGGTGATGTGGCACTGAAGATGAGGAGAAGAACTAGGGCTGACTAAATAACTCTTGGAGTTGTGTACAGGGAGATGAAAATTGAATCCAAGGGAGCAGATGAGATCACCAAGAAAGAAAGATATTAGGAGACACTCCATTTTCCAGCACCTTTCAGCAGCAGAAGAGATCATGGTAGGAGTGGTTCAGAGGTGGCCTTTGGCAAGACATAAGTCTACTAGAGGGACAACTTTCAAATTCTCTGCAAACTTTGTTTTGGTTTCAAAACAAGGTGCTAATGTGACCCCGGACATGATCTTTCTCTAGATTTTGCCTTGAATTCCTATTCATTTATTCTATAAATGATGCTTTTTTTTTTAAAATTAAGGCTACCTATAATGAAAGTGCCTCCTTTCCCACCGTACTTTATAATAACACCTAACATATCTCAAGAATGAGAAAAATAGATAAAGAATCAAATCAGAGACAATTACGTGGTTCTATATACTCATTTCTGAATATAATAATATACAATGCCTACAGACTCATTTGGAAATTTCAGCGGTGAAAGATGAACAAATGTCAAACAGTTGTTTGTGGGCTTCTTTGCTCTTTGGAAGGGAAAGAAAGTGGAAGAGTTGAAAGTCTATTGTTTGTTCTAACATTTGGAATTGTGGCTTTGACACTTATCGTTGGTATGAGCCCAGGTGAGTCGTTTCACTTTTATATACCTCAGTTTCCTCATCAATAAAATTTGCACCATCCACAAATACTTGTGAACAAAATGCTTTGAAGTGTAATATAAACATTTTGTAATATTTTACTTCTTTATCCTTCATAGAACCAAGCTGAATATTCAATTCATAGGAAAAATGGATACTTTAATAATATCAAATTTTTTTCTAGAGGAACAAAAGGTCAAGAATATTAAGGGTAATAATGTAAAAAAAGTGGGAAGGAAAGGAGTCTTTCAATATTCTGTTTCAAACTATACTACAAAACAGTAATCAATAAAACAATTTAGGAGCTGTTAAAATAAAGTGGCCAATCAATGGAGTGTAACAGGTACAGGGAATAAGCGTTTATTAAACCCTTACTATATGCCAGGCATTTACTAAGTGCTTTGCAGATATTATTTCATTTGATTCTCAAAACCCTGAGAAATAGGTGCTATTATGATCCTCATTTTATAGTTGAGGAAACCAAGGCAGACAGGTTAAGTGACTTGCCCAGGATCACATAGCATGACTACACAGAGGTTGAATTTGAATTCAAATTTTCTTGACTATAGATTCAGTATGCTATCTAAAGTGACACCTAGTTCCCTACAGAAGTAAAGAAAGAGGGTATCATAGTGTTACATAAATTCAAAGACCCCAGTTACAGGGACAATTACTATTTAAGAAAAAAAAACTCTTAGGAAAATTGGATTGCAGTCTTGCAGAAACTAGGGTTAGACTAACATCTCAGACCATATACCAAGATAAGCTCCAAATTCATACATGATCTAGAGGGTCAAGGAAGAAATTACCTTTTATACCCATGGATAGGGGAAGAGTCAATGACTAAACAAATGATGGAATCACACAAGATGGGGAGGACAATTTTGATTATATAAAATTAAAAAGTTATTGCAAGAACAAATCAACTGGAGTAAAAGTTAGAAGAGAAACAGGTAAATGCAAAAACTCTTTGAAGAAAATTTCTCTGATAGAGGTCATATATACAGGATATATAAAGAACTGATTAAAATTTACAACACTAAGAGCCATTCCCCAAAAGATAAATGTTCAAAGGCTATGATAAGGTGGTTTTCAAAAGAAGTCTGAACTATCAACAACATGAAAAAATGCTATAAATCACTGTTGGTGGATCTGTGAAATGGCCCAGCCATTCTGGAAAGCAATTTGGAACTATGCCCCCATAGGCACTAATTGTTGTATCATCTGGCCCAGTTATAGCTACTATAAGGTTTATACCACCAAATAAATCAAAGAAATAGGAAAAGGACCTATATGTACAAAATATTCAAGCAGCTCTTTTTATAGAAATCAAAAACTGGAAACTGAAGGGCAGGGGATCCTCGTATTAGAGGCTAGTTAGAAAATTATGGTAAAAGAATTCAATAGAATATTGAGTCATAAGAAATGAAGAAATGGACAGTTTCAAAGGAAATCAGGAAAAGTTCCATAACCTGATGCAGAGCAAAAGGAACTAGGAAAACTACTTTTACTGTTACAACAATTAAGAACTCTGATTAATGCAATGACAAACCATGAATCCAGAAGACTGATGAGAACACATTCCATTCACCTCCAGGCAGATAGATAATTAACTTAAATGCAGAAAAAGACATCCATTCTCAGGCATGGTCAATGTGGAAATCTGTTTTGCTATAATATACATACTTATGATTTGGTATTTGTTTTTCTATTTTTGTCCATTCAGTGGGGAGGCATGAAGTATAAATTCATTTGAAAATAAAATTCATCACACAGACTGATGAGGGGATTAAGTGAAATAGAGTTATCCCTTCCACATCTCGACTTTCCCCATTGCATTTTTGCTGTATCATGGGTTGGCATAAGAACTTACATGGGAATTTCGAGGGAGGTTTGCAGAAGTTGCAGACAATTATGCAAAGGCCAGTAGATGCACAGAAAAAGTTTAGAAACTCAGAAATGCATAAAATATGTGTATAGTATGGAATGATATCAACATATTTTATTTTTTTAATGTCATAATAATTCAGACTTCTTTTCTGGTACAAAAGGAGAGCCAAAACATTTTTCACAGATTTTCCAGATCATGAGGGCTCTGTGCCCCTAATCTCTGCAATGTGGAAGGGATTACTATAAAATAAATGAAGCATTTTGAAAACCTTTAAGCACTATACAGTATCAGCTATTATTATTATTCTTCCCTAGTGCATGAATTTCTTTACAGAACCTATCTCTTTGCTATATAATGCCACTCCATTTTTAAATCTAATCTGATTCTTTTGAATAATGTATTCTCTTTCTCCCTCCCTCCCTCCCTCAGCTATTTTCCAGTCATAGGTCATGTCCCAACACCTCAGTGATTTTTAGAAGGTCTAATTTATTTTCTTGAATTATTTGTTACTCATAATCATTATTTATATATAAACATCTAAGGCCAGGAGCTTCATTACTGCCCCTCTCATCAGATACTGTCACTAATAGAGCATAGAGGATAGTCTCAGAACTAAGAAGTCCTGGGTTCAAGTCCTATTGCCTGCATATACTGGTTATAGACTTTTGGGAAAGTAACTTAACCTCTCAATACTTTAGCAACTCTTTAAGACTGTAAGTTGCAGAGAAGGGCCAATCAATCAATATTTATTAAGTGCCTACAATGTGTCACACACTGTGCTAAGTGTTGGAGCTACAAAAAGAGTCAAAAGACAGTCCCTGACCTCAAGGAGTTTACAATCTAATGGGGGAGAGAATATGCAAACAAATATATACAAAGCAAGCTGTATACAAGAAACAGTAAATAATTAACAGAGGGAAGGCATTGAAATCAGGAGAGATAGAGAAGACATCCTATAAAAGGTGAAATTTCAGTTGAGGCCAGGGAGTTAGTAGTTGGAGCAGGGGAAAGAGCATTCCAAGCATGGAGGACAGTCAGAGAAAATGCCTGGAGGTGAGAGATGGAAGATCTTGTTCACTGAACAACCAGGAGGCTGGTGTCACTGGATTGAAGAGTATATGATGGGAGTAAGGTGTGAGAAGACTGGAAACGTAGGAGGGGGCTAGATTACAAAGGACTTTGAATGTCAAGAGTCTTTTGTATTTATTTCTGGAGGCAATAAGAAGCCACTAGAGTTAATGAGTAGGGGAGTGCCATGATCAGATCTGAACTTCAGGAAAATCACTTTAGTAGCTAAATGAAGGATGGACTGGAATGTGGAGAAATTGAAGCAAGCAGACCCCCCAGAAGCTATTGCAATAATCCAGACATGAAGTGATGAGGGCTTGCACAAGTAATGTCAGTGTCAGAGGAGAGAATCAAGCATAATCAACAGGCACAGGCAACAGACTGAATATGGGGTGTAAGAGATAGGAAAGAATCCAGGATGACTCACTGCTTGAGAACAGGGAGGAGGATGTTGTACTCTACAGTAGTAGGGAAGGTAATGGGGAGGAGGGTGGGGTGGGGGAGAGAAGGATTTAGGGAAAGGAAATTGGTTCTGTTTTGGCCATACTGAGTTTAGGGATGGCTACTGAGCATCCAGTTCAAGATGTCTAAAAGACAATTGGAGAGGAGAGAGATTGGAGGTCAGCAGAGAAGTTGGGGCAGGATAGGTAAGTTTGAGAATCAGCTGCATGGAGACGGTAATTAAATCCATGAGCTCTGATGAGATTCCCCAAGTGAAGTAGTCTAGAGGGAGAAGAAAGACAGCCCAGAACAGAACTGTGAGACACACCTACAGTTAGAGGGCATGATCTGGAGGATAATCCAGCAAAAGAGAAAGGGAAAGCATGGTCAGATAGGTAGGGGGAGAGAGTGGTGTCCCAAAAACCTAGAGAGAAGAGAGTATCAAGGAGGAGAGAGTGATCAGTAGTGTCAAAGGCTGCATGGAAGTGAAGAAGAATGAGGATTGAGAAAAGGTCATTTGATTTGGCAATTAAGACATCATCATAACTTTGGAGACAGCAATTTTGGTGGAATGATAGGATTGGAAGCCAGAGCATAAGAGGTTAAGAAGAGAGTGA